AAGAGAGGGCGCAGAAGCAGACCTGCATGTTTAGGTCCTCCTTACATCTAACATTGGGGTCACTGTGACTCAGTGGGGGAAGGGAGAAGAAACCAGGCAGTAAACGGTGCCGGGACAGCGAATTAACCTCATGGAAAGGAAAAAACTGAATTCCCACCTAACCTAATTGATTCTGAATTGATTAGGGCACAAAGGTAAAAGGCAAAATATAAAATTTTAGAGTAACACATAGAACGTATTTATAACTTCATGTTAGGGAAGGACTTCGTATAATACATGTCAAACTGTAAAGGAAGATGGATAAATTCAATTATATTAAAGTTAAGAACTTCGTTCCTTAGCGAACAGAATGTTTTTTCTGTTCATGAAAAGGCAACATAAAGGAAATAAAAAAAAAAATCTAAAAACTGAAATAAATATATGCAAAATATCACCAATGAAAGATTACTATTCGTAAAAGATATAAAGAACTTCTAAATTTCTTACATAGGGTCGCCTGCTGAAAAGGGGGACGAAACAGACAGTAAATAAACTGGAAAATGTTTTCATCCTAATCAGTAAAACCACAATGAAGTACTATTTTTATACCCATCAATTTGGAAAATATTAAGAAGCCTAAGAATAGGCAATTGGTAAGACTGAGGAACAATGGCAATCCTTGTCCACTGCTGGTGGGGGTTTAAATTGGCACCACCACCCTGGAACAAACACTATCTGGCATTATCTAGTAGAGTTGAGTGTGTCAGACACTGAAGGCACGCCCGGGCCTAAAACCTACACGAACTCTTGCTCATATGCATCAGAAGACATGGACAAGAATGTTCAAAACAGCACTGCTTGTCATGGAAAAGAAAAAAAGAAAAGCAATCCAAATTTTCACCAACAGGACAGTAACCGAACTGTGGAATGCACATATAATGCAACACTATGCAGCACTGAAAATATCTGAAATGAGATGATATGCACCCATATAGAGAAATCTCACAAATGCAAAACCACCAAGCAAGCCAATTGCAAAGTAACACACTCAGCATGAGTCCACTTGTGACAAGTCGAAGAATAGTGTCATATGTGGTTTTTTAAAAAGCCCTGAGAGAGACAAACAAGATATTTATCATAGTGGTTAACTGTGGGGAGGGAGAGAGATTACATCAGGGAGAGATCAATGGGGCCTTCGAGAGCCCTGTCCGTAATCATCTTTCTTACGCTGGAGTGGTGAGTGTGCAGATACTCATTTTTGTCCTCTTTTATGCTTCACTTACATGCTATAAATATCCTATTTGTATTAAATGCTAGAGATTGAGAGGGCATCTAGCGCCTACTGTATAGTTTTACCCTAAAAAAGAACATTTTTTCAGTGTATCTCCTGGTAATTAAATTTCTTTTCCTTTCCCTCTTTGCTTTGACAGGGATAAAATAAATGTCCTTTAGGGAAAAGGAGGGATCATTCTGGATATCACCTCTATATTTCAAGACACATTTACTCTTTATTTAAATGACAAATCAGCAGCAACTACTGGGCCTTTCTCTGAACTAAAAAGAGGTAGATTGCAAAGAGAAGGATCAAGTTCCAGCCCCGAAAACACAGACCAGCTATAAAACGCCTGACTTTCTCAAGAGCTTTTACACCATTAGGGCAACGAGTATTGTGCACATTTTAACCAATGAGGTTTATGAGAAACAGGGAAGGGAAACAACTTGGACAGAATTAACAGCTTTTCATGGCAGAATCAAGGCGGGGATGAATTTTCTGATTCCTAGTCCTATATCCTTTTTGTCTTTCCCACATTAATTCATACAGGAGGTCTAAATTCACCAATGGCAAAACAACTTTAGGCAGCTGAGAGGCCAATAGGAGATATTTTTGGATGGGGGATATTTGCCAAGAGCACCCATATGTATCATTCTCGTTTTCTCTCCCTCCCCTCCTCCTTCTTTCCCTTCTACCCACATTCCCCTACCCCCCACCCCCGTTTTTACACACACACACACACACACACACACACACACACTGGAGACATCGCTCTGTCTACATCACCATTTTGGCATAGAAAAAATGGAACTCACATCGGCAGGCACAATGTGTGCTATCTGGGGCATGGGCACACTTACAGCTTTAACTCAAAAAATACAAAAGCAATTTATGCAACTAAAACATTTGTACCCCCCTAATATTCTGGAATTTTTTAAAAATGAGGTTACATGTTTTAAAAAATGGAACTCTAACTAGACATGGGTGTTTTTCTTAATTCCCAGAACTGAAAAATGCAGGTAACGTGGCCTACGGGGACCTGAGGTCCCTGCCTGCCTGTGCCAGAGGGGGCCGGATCCACTTTATGCCACCAGCCCTTCCCAGCACAGACTCCTGCTCCGGTCTTCTTTCCAGACTAACACTGTCTTCCTCTTCTTCCTTGGAATAGTAATTTGGTGTAAGCCTCATTTTCATGTTCAAAAAAAATTTAAAAACATTATCTAGTAATATCACAAGTTGGTTTAAAAACATTAAAGCACATTAAACATCTCAGCAGGGGCAACTAGAGGCCATAGGAAAAAAAAAACAGCTGAAAAGAAAGACAAAGACAATTTTGATGGCGATGGAAATGCTTTAATGTCTTCAGCGTGGTAGTGGCTACCCAGTCTTATAAATTTTCAAATACACATTTAAGTGTGCACTTAAAATGGGTTCATTTGATTGCATATAAATTACACCTAATCAAAGCTCACTGAAAAGAAAGAGTATACTTCTAATAATTGGAATCATTCACCACCCTCTCTGCCCTGACCCCCAGCTTTCTAAAAGGAGGCAGAACTGGTTTAGGAAGATTCAACCACTAGCATTGTATTTCATCATCCCCTTCGGTCTACACACAGAGAGTGGAGGGAAAGGAACAGAAAAGAGGGAAAGGCCAGGTCTGTAGCCTTGTGTGCACTCAGTGGTTAGGGACAGGAAGGGTAGAGAGCTGTCTTTCCTCCAAAGCCAAAGGAAACATTGACTTCCTAAGAGAGTCATTCAAAGATATGGGAATGCCTGCAAGATGGGGAACCTGGTATCTCATCACCATGCTGAATTTTTTTATTTTTCATAGAGACAGGGCCTCACTCTTCCTCAGACTGGTCTGGACCTCCTGAGCTTAAGCAATCCTCCCACCTCAGCCTTCCAGAGTGCTAGGACTACAGGCATGAGCCACAGTGCTCGGCCACCATGCTGAATTCTTGCTTAAATGTGAAATCTGTCAGTGCACCTGGTATTGTCACAGGAGCTAAGCAGGGCATGATGAGGAAGTTCTTAGAAAAACCTTCCATTTGTGCCCTGAAGCTTTGAGATGTAAATAAGCATAGAGACTGGTGCCTTTGCTTTCTGGAGATTTCTGAAGGAGGAAGGCCTGCTGGAGAGCCTGACTCCACAGGGTGAGATGGGACCTTGGTTCACGAACCCTGGGAAGGAGACGGAGGAGGCCATCAATGTGTCCAGTTCCCATGGCCATCGGGTCAGAGGACCCCTGTGGTTCTCAGGCTCCAATGGCAGGAATCCCTGGCCTCGAGGAGAACACGGGTGTTATATAGTGGCTAAATGAGACAAAACCCTACCTGGAACAGGGGTTGGGAATGTAGACATATTGGAAGGGCAGATAGGAAGCATGGGGCCCCCTCTGAAGAGTAACTTGATCATGGAGAGAGTCAAGGTGAAGTGTCTACACTTCCCTGTCCCCCCTCAGGAAAACTGCACCTATTGCTACACCATAGCAGAGCACCAGGAGCAGACAGAAGCAGACCAAACCACCGTGGGGCCTGGGACACTTGGCCACCACCTTATGCCCCTATTCCCACCAGAAGCGCTAGCCTGTGAGGAGGAGGTGGTGAGGAAGCATTTCAGAGCCAGGCCTTGCAGCTTGGCCCCACGCAGCTATGCTGGAGGTAGAGGAGAAAGCTTCAAACTGAGTCTGTGCTTGAAGTTTGAAACTAGACATAGCTTTTAATAGGAAAGAGCAACCGAGAAAGAGAAATATAGCTTGTGTTCAAAATATTAAGGAACTGGAAGAAGTGGTCAATAGCACTGGCACGTAGGTGATAATCATTTGCCCAGGTATAGAGGAACCATTGAAAATGATTACCTTATTAATTTTTAAATAAATAGTTACTGAAATGTTTTCATATTTTCCTTAATCTTTTTCATGAATTTAAAACTCATTTATTCTTCCATTTATTCAGCAACTATTTAGTGAGTACGCAGAAGGTTCCAGAACAACAGGAGGCTGTGGTCTCTGCATTACGGAGCTTGCTGTGTGCCCAGCCCCACGAGGCCCCATGAGGACAGTTTTCCACAGCATCATCCGCCCCTTGCTGCATCTCTCAGACCCTCACCCTCCCTCTTCCTATCCCACCTCGGGGATTCCTTCTAATCCACCTTTCTATGCCCAGTAAAAGTGTCAGCAAGAGACTTCTCAGTAAGACAATTCTTCCCATTTTAAACAATGCTTTGGAAACATTAATCTCCCACGTGTTGGCAAGGGCATAGGATTTCAAATCAGATTGGGTTCTGAGTGGGGACTCTGAGTGCTTGTCCCAGCTCCCCCTCTCCCCAGCTGGGTGACTTGATTGTGGGCAGACACCTCTCCACAGAGCCTCATGTTCCTGGGGAGAATGACATCACCTTATGGGGGGCTGTGAGCATCGAATGCAATAAGGCACACGGAGCACTTAAGCACTCCACAAATGATATGTATTATCATCATAATACAGGTAAATTTGAACAAATCACTTAACCTCATTGAACCTTAGTGCCCTCACCTTTAAAACAAAGTTATTAATAACAGACTTGTCTACCTCACAAGGTTGGTGTCAGACCCACTGAGATAATAGATGTAAAAGGCATTTTATATATTATAAAGAGCTATTCAACAGTAAGCTATTGTTAGCATTTTCAATGATACACTAAGCTGAAAGCTTTTTTAAAAAAAAAAGACTCAAAAGAAAAAATGAAAAAAGAGAGAATACAGCCATGGTGTTGCCACTGCCTTTCTGTGACATTTATAAGCAATCTGGAAACCATCCAACTCCACAAGTTAATTTGATTCTGCTTTGAATCACACAACTGCGGCTTGGCACATCCTGGCTTGCCCTTCTCTTCCTCAGCCCTTACTTAGCACGCCCGAGCTGATGGAGAAGATGCCAGGCTTGGAGTGGGCCCCAGCCCTTCCATCCGTGCTCTGCAGCAGGGCCACTGCTAGCTTTCTTCGGACCTTGCCCTGGAAGTTTCCATCTCATTCCGAGAGTTTCCAGTCCTCCTACGAGAGAAATATCAGCTCTCATGAAACGAGGCCAGAATGTAAGCGTTGTTCTACTGGATGCGGGAAATTGTCCCATAGGAGCAGACACGTGCTATCAGTCTGGGGACTGTGACACTGATGATTGCTGGAGGGAGAGGCGACCTTCCATGGGAAACACCCTTCCCTGGCTGGGCCCACTGTCCAGTGGAAACACATTTCAGGGGGTGGGAGGAGGTACTCAGTTTGTGTCACATTCCTGAAAACCTAGGGAATGAGGCTTCTGCTGTTTGTTTACCCAGCCACTGCCAAGGCCTAAACTTGCCGGTTTCCTGAGCAGCAGATCAATCCTTCAGCCTCTCAGATTCCAGGGTGAGTGAGGTAATATTTGCCCCACGGGTTACAAGGTGTCAATGTAAAAAAACAAAAAATACACGAAATGCTTGAAACAATGCCTGTTGCATTGTAGGTGCTCTGTAGTTAGGGTAACCATTTAACTTATGTACTATAATTAATTAGAACATTTTCTAAAGTGAAAGGGGCATAACCCAGACTGGGTGTTGGAACAACAGGCGTTACTGAGACTGTCACAAACAAACCAGGATGTATGGCACAATAAGGACATGATATTGGTCATTGGTTGGACATGTAGACATCAGTGGTGGGGACTGGCCTCCTGTGTCAACAGAGTCACTGAGCACTGTCGCAGGCACAGGTGGAGGTGGGTCTCCTGATGACCTTCCTGGCACTGTAGGGACAGTGGGAAGAACATTTCCCAAGTGTGGGCTCGTTCTGTGTTGTAGGGAGTCATCCTGCAGCATGTGAGTTCCATCACAGGCATCTCCAAGGACTGGATTAAGAGACCCTCAGTGTCACAGGGCCCCTCTCTCCCCCACTGATACTTTGCAAAGACAGGCCAAAGAAAACATCCTCTTCTGCCTGGCTTATTTGTCAACTGGTTGGGCTGAGAGTGAGACATAAACACACCCAGAATCCATGGAATCTTCCCCTATGGTTTGGCTGAGCTCTGATGGTCTTGATAAGGCTCAGCTTATCTCAGCTGGACTTGCTCATTGAGGGTCAGGTGTTGACTTGGCCCAAGCCTGGCTCGTCTAGGATGGCCTCATTCCCATGTCTTACTGTTGTCTGGCTGTCATCTGGAGCAAAGGGGTGACAAGACCAGATGTCTCTCGTCATCCTGCAGGCTAGCCCAGGCCTGTTCGCATGGAGACAGCAACGTCAAAAGAGGCCCAGACTCAGAGGTGGGACACGGTCATTTATGCTGCATTATCCAGGCCAAAACAAATCACAGGGCTAGCCCAAATCCAAGGGGTGGGGAGTGGACTACACCTCTTGCTGGGAAGGCTGTGTGTTGCTTTGCAAAAGAGGCAGATACAAAGAGTGGTGAACAATCATAGCCATTTAAGCAATCAGTGTACTTTACCAGTGCAAAGAGTTTGGCTTTGACTCTGACTATTAAGCGATACCTTTAAGGTTTGAAAGGAAAGTGAATTGTCACATGATTCAATTTATGTTCAAACTGATCCCTCTGGCAACTGTATTGGCAACAGAGGCAGCGACAGAGGCAGGGGGACACTGGTGAGGAAGTGTTGTGACAAACTAGCAGAAACCTGGGAAATGTGTGTCAGGACAAACTAAGAGCTTCTGTTGGACACAATCTTGATGCATCTGTTAAACATCGAAGCAGCAATGTTGGTTGCACAGTTAGACACACTAGCCTGGATTTGGGATGGAGAAATAACTGTGGGGGTTACTGGCATACAGGTGGTGTTTAAAGGCATGAGAGTGAGTGAGGTCACCAAGGGATGAGTGTAGTTAGGGAAGAAGAGAAGACAAAGAGCTGAGCTCTGGAGCCCTCCAAGGTGAGGAGGAAAAAACCTCGTAGGAGCCTGAGAAGGAGCAATCGGGAGGTTGAGGGGAAACCAAAGGACACGTGTTCTGGAAACCATTTGTGGGACACGCACGCGAGAGGAGGAGCAGATCAGCTGGGTCTCCACTTCATCCTGCTTCTATCTGAGAAATTCGTGGAAGATGGAGGGTTTGTCTGGAGTGAAGATACATCTTACCCCAATCTCAAGTATATTAACAGAAAAACATATGGCCTTAGTCCTTGCTGGAGGGTGTCTGTGTAAAACAGTCAAGTTGACCTGCTACAGAGAGGGGCCCTTTAACCTCCTGTAGCTCTAAGTCTCCAAGGGGCTGTCTCTGGCTCCCAGGAAGGGAACTTCAACCCTTCTCCTCCACGGAGAGCCAAGGAAAGCGAGCTATCACTGCCTGGAACGTTGTGGACACCAAGAACTGTTAGGTAAAAAGGGAGGGAATGAAGAGTGACTGTGGTCAGAAGCTTTAGTTGGTAGAAGAGAAAACAAAAGTAAACAGGCAAATACTGCGGCCTGGGAAAGAAAAAAAATGTGGGTGACTTGAACCAAGAAGTTTTCTGTAAGATTTGCATTGCTCACAGCCCAGCCTGTACCCCACCCTCAGGGACCCAGCTCCCTACTTCCCCTTCCTCACCTTACAAGACGTCCTGGCTCTTCTTGAGAGGGTAGATGGCCACCGGACATGGAGTAGGACAACCTAGATTCACGGCCCAGTTCCAGGTACTATCTGGCTTAAAATCTGAGTTTCATGGGATTGTCGTGAAGACTTTCCTAAAATGAGGTTTATAAAAGCATCTTGTAAACTGTAAAGTGCTACCCAAATGTAAGTATATGTATTTTCCAGAGAATAACCCAGTAAATAGTCACTGTCAAATAGTGATAGAGGACACGAAAGAGTGAGAAGATAGCCTCGCACCGAGAGATGTAAGAAGGCGGAAGCGTGGATTTACGAGAAAGGTAGCAAAGCGGAAGAGGAGGGCCAGTTGCAAGATGGCACCCGGAAGTGGTGTCAGGATAACATCATTACCGCCAACTCTTGAGTGAACTTGCTGCATCGCTGGGACCTGTGGCTCAAGTGGGTTGTATTCTCCCCCAAGGAAATCAGCAGTTTTGAGGTAGATGACATGGGCTGGGGAGGCCACACCGTCTCAGGAGTGGAAGCGTGGAGCGTCCTTAGGGAGAAAGGCTGGGAGATGCACACAGTGCAGTGAACGGCTTTTGATGGCCGCTCACGGGGGAGTTGGATGCCGGCCGAAGAGTAGGAGAACCTCCTAGGGGAAAGCAAGCCTAGAGCAGCATTGAAGTTACACACCTGCCTACAGTACGAGGCGGATTATCTGTAGTATATCACAGATGCTATAGGAGCTCAAATGCTATGACTGGGGTAATATCTAGAAATGATTTATTAAAGAAAGACTTTCTCCCATTTTCTACCTTCACTCCTACGCCCCTGAATGTTGCCATCTTTTGTTTCCCTTTCCTTGTCCCTCTCTGTCTCCCTTGGCCTGCCTGTGCCTGTGGGTGGCTTTGCAGTGTTAAAGGTTGAGTCTGAACAGCTGTGTCCCCAGCGCCCTCACTGGCTCCCTCTCCTCGTGGTCACTGCCAGCATTAGCGTGGCTAGGAAAGGGGCCTGTGTGACCCAAGGCAGACCATGCTGACTTGTGCGTGACCATTTCCCCACCCCATTCCCCTGTCATACTATGCACCCTGTCAGACAAAAAGGAAAACTGCTGGCACCGTGCGGATGACCCAGAACAATGTGCATGGTTTCCAATACAAACCGTGCAGCTCAGGGCTCCTGCCCTGCAGAGCATCCAGTGACTTTTGCTGAGCCATCCAAGCCCAAGGGAAAACAACCCGCTGGGAAAGAACAAAGGCGGCCTTAGCCCAGGGCTGTCCCCGCCAGTCAGGAGAGGCAGGCGACAGCACCTCTGGGCAAGCTTGGTCCCTGGATGGCTGCCAAATGGGCTGTCTTGAGCATGACAAGGCAAGGGAGGGACCCAACAGGCTCCAGTCAATGAGAAACAGAACTGCCCTAAAAATAATAATGAATGAAAAGGCACAGTTACAAAGTCTTGCCTCTGAGCTGGTTTGGCACCCAATCAGACCTAATGATATGTTCAGAAGGAAAAGTCCGCAGCCTAGATTTGGAATCCTTTGAGCCAACTGGTCATCTGCAAACAGGTCCGATGGACTTCTGTGGCTTTACCAACATGCATTCCAAGAAGGGACTCTTGGGCCTGAGCACTGTCCTTCTTCAACACACTCAGCACTTGTTGGTGCTGGAATGACTGCGGAATAGCCTATTTGGTAGCAGAGGGATGGACTAGAGGAACCTATGAAGTCATGTGCTAATGACACTGTCCCTGTGACTAAGAAAGCACCTATTGGAGAGGGAATGGAAGGGATGATGGGAAGAAGGCAGCAGGAGGAAGAGGTTCCTTCTCAGTCCTCAAACATTTGTTGAGCTTTTCTTGAGAGCTGAACACAGTGGAATAAAGGCACGAAAATAACTGATGCCACCCCACCCTCAGGATGTATACAAGATTATATATCTAAAAGTTCTTTTAAAAATAGGTTTAAGGAGGTGAGAGATGATTGTCATTGCTACCAAAGATGCCGGAGAACATCTCACTGTGGAGCCAACCCTGATGGATGGCCAGAGCTGTCTGGAGGTCTGTACTGAAGAAAGGTCATGATTGCCCATGTGGGTTCAGGCTCAGCAAAGCTGCCTTGATATGTTAGTGTTGTTTGTAATGGATGGAAGGGAATGCTATGTACCCAATGACCTGCATTCCAAACAAATTTGGCCTATTTTATAAATAGGAAACCTGAGTCCCAGGAAGGAGGGGTCTAGCACTGACCTTAGATTGTCCCAGCTGAGCCTTTGCTCCCCTGCCCTGGGAAGGCAGGACAGAAGAGCACACTCTAGAAGGTACTGACCATGTCATGCCATCCTGGGGAGGAGGAGAGAACGGAAGGGAGGGGCTGGGAAGGCTTCTAGAGGCCACAGAACAGCACCAGGGAAACACATATATGGTTTCCAATGAAGCAACAGCTCCTGCTTAACCCTCCTTCTCTTGTCTTTCCCTGAGCCTGGAAAGTCAAGGTGAGGTTGCCAAAAGTGGCAAAACTTTCCCATAGATCTACCCTGGGAGGAACTCTGAAGGAGTATTTCTGATTTCTTAAGAAGCAAAGTATCATAGGCCACAATTTATGATGGTTACATGAGAGTTAAAGCATACATTTTATCTAAATGGTAATAGAGTTCATTGTATGCCAGTTTCTTTTTGTGAAATTGAAGATTTCATGGAGCTGTTGTTACTGTCTCTGCATTCCCCAGCACCTAAAAAAATTATATAATAATAGGCATTCAGTGGATTTTGATAAATAAATGAATAAGTGATTGATTTCTTTTTAGGGAATCCAGAGATTAGGATTCAATCTTCCAGCCAGAACAGAGAAAAAAATTCACTTGTAACCTTAAACTTTATTAAAGTATTGTGGGCTTGAAACTGCTCACTCAGCCATTCTAGCCAGAGAGTAAATAATAGTAATAAAAATCATAGCTAACATTTATTGAAGAATTGCCATATTCCTTATGAAAACAAATACATTGGGGCAGATTAAACATTTTAACAAACAATTCTAAAATCTCAGTAGTTTAAGCCATAATCCAATACAGATTGGCAGGAGCAGGGGGAGGAGTGCTGTGCTCCACACAGTCATTCAGAGACCCAGGCTCCTTCCATATAGTGGCTCTGCCTTCCCTGAACCTGGAGTTCTCCTTTGGATTTCAGCAGCAGATGAGAAAAGAGACAGTATAGAGGATTATAAGGAAGGTTTGGGGGGAAAGGCTTAGACTACATAGCATATATTACTTCTACTTACATTCCATTGACTAGAGCTCAGTCACAAAGCCTCACCTAGACTCAAGGAGGCTGAGAAATATAGTCTATTGGTGACTCATGAAAAAAAGAAGGCAGGTGTGTTGGTTATCTGTTAAGTCTCTGCCACAGTGCATTATCTCATTTAATTCTCAAGACAACCTGACAAAACCAATAATTATTTTTATTCCCTTTTTGCAGACAAGAGAATTGAGACTCAGAGATTAAAATAATTCCTGATGTCACACATTTAGTAAATGGTAGAAGTTGAAATTGGTCCTAGGTCTGATACTAAGACACTCATTCTAAACCCACTACGCTATGCTTCTTCATAAATGAGGTTTGGTTATGTTCTTCCCTTTTCCTTTCTCACCACACAGAGCCTTACAATGCTGATTTTGACTCTCCTGGATCTAAACTGCTGATAACACTTAGACATTTGGCACCAGAATATACATTATCTTATCTATTCCCCATTGCACTTCCATGTGGTAGGTATTATTATTAGCTCTACTTTACCAGAAAGGAAACTCAGATTAAATGGGTTATATAACTTGGCTAAGATCATACAGTTAATGAGAGGCACATTTGAACACAGTGAATGCTGTACTGTATCTTGCCCTTTGGCCTGGAACTTTGGAAGACCTTTCCCTAAAAAAAAAATAATAATTAATCACAAAAAAATAAAACTGAATCCTAAAAGATTCCAGCAATCTACTTTCCCTGGGAACACCCCAAAGTGGTTAGCATCTGCAAGTTCAGTGACCTCAATGTTGAGGTCAGACAGGCTCCTTACTCTTCAGGTTTGATTCCATCTATAAGGTGGAAAAACCAAGCACATTCAGCAGCCTCTTGCTTTATTAATTATAATTAGATTGGCACATCAATGCCTGAAGAAATTCTTCCCAGCCAAAACCATCCAGGAAATGAAGAATCCAATAAATAACTAGGCTGACGCAAGGCTAGGGAAACACTCCAGACTCAACTAGAGGGTGGTCCTCTCCAGGCCAATAGGGTTTATTCCTGGCCGGGTCACTGGGTGTGGATGTGGAAGCAGCAGCTAGAGCAAGCTTTGTCTTCTGGGCTCTCTTCTTTCCCCTTTCACTCTGCCCTGGCCACATTCTCCCTCTCCCTGAACTATCAGCTCACGAAGTTTGTTCTTTTATCACACACTCCCCAGGCATTGAGAAGCCATCAGACATCATGTACTGGTCCCAGAGGGGAGAAAACAGGAAATGAATCTAGTTGAAACTGCTCACTATAAAGAAGGAATTCATGGTAATAACAATAATGTGATTTGAGGATGTGGCTAATTGGGTAGATGAAAGAAAAAAACAAGAGTAGATTATGAGTCTTTGGGGCATTTGACTTTACAATATCTTTGATTATGTAAGCTGCACCATCACAGGAGCACACTGTAGAGTCCCAGAACCTGTGGGGTGCCAGCTCCGTCCCTGCCTTCCTGACACCATCCTAGGCTGGATTTCTCCTCTTGACTATGGCCTGGGGTCTTCCTTCCTGAGGAATTCTTCACCCCCATCATATACTCTCAAGTCAGTCCTCATGAGATTGACTTCCACCTGCAGTGACGGTCTATGAAGATGTGAATAATCCTTCGTGTTGGAACCTTTGAGATTATTATTATTCTCAGAACCCAGTGAAGCAACTGGGGCCAGACTGGTTAAATGACTGGCATACTGCCAGTTAGGGAGGGAGCCAGGACACCCCTGTCTCTAGCCTTCAAGCTTGGAGAGTCTTCCCGCTAGACCACACCAGAGTGTGTAACTCTAGGTGCATAAAACGGTTACAGATTCTACTTCATTCTTCATTTTTTAAAAATCCTACCATTGATGTCTTGGTGGAAATTCCCTTGCAGTGCTTCTTGCTGGATACCAGAGAAGCTTGTGGTGTCTCTTTCTGTATCAGGTACACTACAGACCTGTTCTCGTTCCCTTTCAAGCCCTTCCAGGAACCTAAGTTTTGTAACTTCCTACTTCTCTCAACCTAAACTGAATGTATTTGCCACCAACCTAAGAAACCTGCCTTCTGTCTTCATTCCCACAGCAATGAGCCTCGTTTACCTTCCTATGTGTCTTCCTGGTGCCCTGCTGGGCATCTATGATCTGTATGTTTGCTCTTCTTCTGCAGCCTTTCCCCATTTTGACTTCTTCTAATGGAGACAGAAAATCATCCTTCATTCCATTCAGTTCTCAGGATAAAAACAGAGTCAAGGATGATTTCCCAGGTCTCACAAAAGTCACCACTGCCAACTTCTCCTCGCCCGTCCCCACTATTCTGCACCATTCCCACCACTCTGGCCTGTGTTTAGTTCTTTACTGGCCTGTCTTTAGCTCTTTAGAAAACATCAAGCTCTCTCTTGCTTGCTGATCCTTGGCATGCCGTTTCCTCTGCCAGAATCTTACCCCACAGCCCATTCTCCCACTCCCAGACTCAACTGATGTGTTACTTCCTCTAGGTAACCTTCCCTCACTCCCTACTCAGGTTAGGTCCCCCTCTACTAAATGCTCTAAGATAACCTTATACTTTTCTTTCGCATCCTCTAACATAAATGAGATTTTGCAAGTATTTTTATAATTGTAACTTAACTGTCTATGTCTTCCAACAGACTGTAAGTTCCATGAGTGAATGGCCAGCGAGATTGGTGCTGTGCACACACACATTCTAAATACGGCTGTTCCTTGGTATCTGTGGAGGATTGGTTCCAGAAACTCCCACGGATACAAAAATCCACTGATGCTCAAGTTCCTGACATAAAATGGTATAGTATTTGCATATAACCTACACACATCCTGCCGTATATTTTAAATCATCCCTAGATTACTTACAATACCTAATACAATGTAAATGCTACTTACATGTATATTTAATGACAAGAAAAAAGTCTGTACATGTTCAGTACAGGTGCAATATTTAAAAAGTATTTTCGATCTATGGTTGCTTGAATCTAAGTATGTGGAGCCCACAGATATGGAGGGCCAACTGTATTGCTCTCAGGACACTGAAGCTGACACTGCTATTCCATGTCATCATTTGCATATATGTGGAAGAACCCACCAGGATTATACATCCCATTGTGGTAAAAACCCCTGTAGTAATGGGTATTTAATAAATGTTCATCGAATGGATGGAGGCATAGAGATCAATAAAGCTCTCATAACAGCTTGAGGGTGGGGAGCATGTTAGTTTGTTAGAGAACTTTTGACAAAAGATTCAAAAATCAGTGTGAAAGTTCAAAAGTCAGTGTGAAAGTATAAAGCTCTCTGTTATTTCTCTTTGTCACTTCTGTTTTGTTTCTCTTTCTTTACAGGAACCTCTGTATTAGTGCACTCTACTTCCAGCTACCAAAACCTGTGTTAGTTTTCTAGTGTTATGTAACAAATTACAACAAACTTAATGGCCTAAAAAATACACATTTATTATCTCACAGTTTTTGTGAGCCCAGCGGGGTGGGCGCAGCTTGGCTGGGTCTTCTGCCTAAGGCTGCAATCAGGGTGTCACCCAGGGCTGGGTTAGAGGCTCAACTAGGGAAGGATCTTCCCAGCTTCCCCAGACTGTTGGCAGACTTTAATTCTGTGCAGCTGTAGGTTTCATGGCAGCTTACTTCTTCAAAGTCAGCAACCGAGAGAGAGAGAGAGAGAGAGAGAGAGAGAGAGAGAGACACTAGCAGTAAGATTGGTGCCATGCTCTCATATAATCATGTGCACATAATCATGCATATGTCTTCATCCATGCCATGTTCTATGGATTGGAATCAAGTCACAGGTAATGTTCAAAGGGAGGGGATTATACAAAAGTATGCATATCAGAAGTTGAGGATCACGGTCTACCTTAGAGTCTATCCACCACAACCATGGATATATATATATATATATATATATATATATATATATATATAATGCATGGATGGACCATTTCTTGATACCACCACTTTTCTACATAGGTTCCTAAGCTGGCCCCAGTCTCCAAAGCCAAACTGAAGACCACGAATCATTCAGTAAAAAGAATTACATATACATATGTTTGCATTTGTATGTTTTGAAGGGGACTAGTAAGGACACCGGTGGTGGGAGGGAGAAGTTTACACCAAGATCAAAGAAAGGAGGCAGAGATCGCTCAGAGAGGGAGCGGTCCCCTGTTGGAAGGAGCAAAGAAGAGGCGGCTCCCAACAGAGAAGAGCCAAGACAGAAGTCTTCATGCAGGTGGGTTCCTATCCCAGGACAGCTGCGTGCTATCCAGACTCTCCCCCTGCTCCTCAACTCTCAGGCTGCCCCTGTCCCCAAAGAAGCTTAGAATGCTTCCCCGTCTGCCATTAGAAGTACTCATCCAGCCTGGCATGCACCCCCTGTAATTGTCTCCCATCCCCCAGAGTCCCATCCTCATGTTAAGTTCAGCCAAGAGCTGCCTTCTTGCATATTTTAAATTCGGCCTAAAGGTTTCTTCATGCACAGCGAACTGTAACCTAACTGGATGTGTAAACAGACTGCAGCCTACTCTTGCACCAATCACAGAGCTTCTGCCACACACACGAGGCCAACTGTTCAAACTGTTCAAAGAAGGCAAACACTGAGCTGTAACCAATCCGGCGCTTTTCTGTATGTCACTTTCCTTTTTCTGTCCATAAATGTCATCTGACCATGTGGCAGCCCCCAAGTCATTCTGAACATATATATTCTGGTTCTGGGAGTTACCCAATTCACAAATCATTCTTTGCTCAATTAAAATCAGTTGAATTTAATTTGTCTGAAGATTTTCTTTTAATACCCACCTTGACCCAAGCAGATCTGGCTACAGGGCCCATGTAGCCCACTCAGGCCCCGCCTTCATTCCCACAAAGCATGCCCGCACTTCAGGGGAGCTCTCTGCTCCCTGACCAAGAAGACTGGCTTCCAGCTGCTCTGACTCTGACTCTCTGAGTTAAATAGTGAAAACAGGACATCCAGCAAGAAGAGGCCCAGGACTCTCCTTCAGACCTGGGAAGCTCAGCATTTATTGTTCTTAAGGGACAAGGCCTCCAGGTATTTACTTGATTTAGGAAACTTGCTGCAAGCCACATGTAAAGGCAAAGGCCAGGAGTAGCCTGAACTAGGGCTTCCCCAGCACAGCCTCACTTCATCCGTGGCAGTTTTTTATATTTCAAAGTCTCACTCTTTTAGTACTAAGTCAAGATTGGTGGTCGTTTTCCCAGGACAGTCCTTGAAGTACCATTATCACCCACACGATGTCTTCATTACATTTTCATTATTCATTTTGACTACAGGTCTTGGTGTGCAGGTTTAACCTACTCTACTAGATGGCATACTTTTTGAGGGCAGAATTCCCTTTTTATTAATCCATCTACCTCCCCAGACTCCCAAAATACAGTGACATGTACAGAGAGAAACCTCACTTGTTAACCAATGAGTTGTGTGAAATTGGATAAGATATTTAAACACTATGATCCCTGAGTTTCACCATTATCTTTAAAATGATTTTTAAGTTCACTTTCTTCTCTAGATCTTAAATTCTAAGAAGAGGTCTTGATAAGCAAATTAGGAGTACAAACAAAAAGGAAGAATGTTTTTAAACTATTTTAAGAGAACAAAATGCTTTGAGTGCTTTAGAAGTATCTATTTTTACACAGATGGGATCATTAAATCAGTGTAGCCAGCTGCCACCAGGCAAGTGCTTTGGATGTTCTTGTCGCAAACCCTTCTGACCCACTGTACTTAGAAAGCTCCTCCTCTGGTGAACAGAGCTTCCCTTGAAGTATGTAACTTCAAAGAGGCAACACGGTGCGCTGGCAAGCCCTCAGATCTCTTATCTGAAACACCAGCAAATGAATCTAATGATACTCAGGAAGTCTAAAATAATAGGAGAAACAGCTCCCATTCCACAAGGTCTTTGCCGTTCTGGTAATCTCTAAAGAACGTTGCAGTTCTACCTGGTGTGATGGGACAACCAGATCAAGAGCCAGAGGTCTGGGTTTAAGTGTTCCTTTCCTCTGACACTTACTGGCTGTGTGACTTGGAGCAATTAACTTGCTCTCTCTGACCTTCTGTTTCTGTCTAGATCTGTCCTTCCAACCGGACAAGCACATTGTAAAGATCAAATGAGGAAATGAGGTAATGGGTAGGCGAGCTCTTTGTGAACTACAAAGAGATGCAGATGTTAGCTCTACATTTTAAAGCATCCCATCAATCATGTTGTGATTTAATTACCATAGGTCATTTCCCACAAGCTAATACAAGTCATAGGAATTTGGTGGAATTGTGTGAGCATGTTAAATGCATATCTGATTACTGGATTCTTAGGGGGACACTCTGTGAAGCAATCTGGTATAATAGTTATTAATGATAGCAAACCATTGGAGGCCTAGATCTGGATTTGAATAACAATTTTGGAATTTACTAGCTAGGACTTAGGGAAAGATACTTTACCTCTCTTAGTCACAGTTTCCTAATCTGCAAAGCAGCATTGAATATGAAAAATGATAATACCTATATTATGGAATAAATGTTTGTGTCTCCCATAAAATTCATGTGTTGAAGCCCTAACCCCCAATGTAAGGGTATTTGAGGGTGGGACCTTTGGGAGGTAATTAGAGTTAGATGAGGTCTTGAGGGAGGGACTCTCTTGGTAGTACTAGTGCCCTTCTAAGCAGAGACACCAGAGAGCATGCTCTCTCTCATTCTCCACCTTGTGACCACATAGCAAGAAGGAGGACGTCTGCAAGCCAGGAAGAGAGTCCTCACCAGAGCCTGACCCTGCTAACACCCTGATCTTGGACTTCCAGCCTCCAGAACTGTGAGAAAATAAATTTCTGTTGTAAACAACCCAAAAATTCCTGTTGTAGCCACCCAGTCTATGGTATTTTGTTGTTTTTTAGCCTGAACAGACTAAGACAACTTCCTAGAGTAAAAATAACCAGAAAGATGAAAATCACTCTGAGTACTGAAACCAGAAAGACTAGAAAGCAAGAAATGAATTACACCAGTGCTAGACTAGCTGAAAACCCAGCAAGGGATAGTGAGGCAACTCAGAGATTAACAACAGCAGGAAGCTGCTGCTGCCCCAGGACTGCAGGGACAAAGGGAGGAAGTGGGTTTATGAGAGCCCAGGGCCCAACTCACCCATCAGAAGCTGAAACCATAGCGAGGATGCTGGGGGGGAGCGAGAGATTCAGAGGAGATGTCCTCCTTGTGCCTCTCACTGGCTACAACCAGCTGGGTCCAGGTGGCACTTGAACTTGGGACTTATAGACCCCTAATTAATTGAGGATTAATAGTAATTGTATGAGAGATCCTGGTTATTCCATTAAATATTTTATACGCAATAAGTAACTTAAGGCTGAGTTATAATATGGTTTAGTTAGTGGCAGATCTTATTTTATTAGACATTCTGAGTATCATCAGATACTTTTGCATGTTCCAGGCACTTTCACATATGTAATCTCATTTGACTCCAGATAACTTATGCTGTTCTCCATTTTCCTTCCTATCTGCTGAGTGATCTTGTCCTTAGCAACTGAGGGGTAGCAGGGTATTAGGTTCAGAACTTGACTCTTTTTAATCTAGCTCCAACATAGCTGTCCAGTAGAATGCCGTGCCATCTCTCCACCATGAACCCTATGCTGCAGTCACAGAGAACTACCCACCAGTTCCCAGAGTGCCCACTCCATCATGTCTCCCAGAGATCGTTCATACTATCCTTTAGGCATCCTTTATTTCAGGACAAACTTACCGTGACCTCTTTTGTGAAGCGTAGAACCCAGCTCACTGGCAGAATTAAGCACTTCCTCCTCCGTGCTCTTATTGTGACCTTGGCTCCCAAGATTATTGCAGGGATTATCTGGTTGCATTTTGGTACACTGGTACATCCTCTTCCCCTGCCAGCCCATGAGCTTCTGATCCGCAGCTCAGAAATGCAGAATCTGGAGGCTGAAACCTGGAGAAAGAGGCTACACCCAGTGTGTCACAAGGATTTAGAGCCCAAGAGACCTAAATTCCAATCTGATTTCTGCCACTTCCTAGATGGAAATTTAGACAAGCAAATTCATCATTAAGCCTCAGTTTTCCCTCTGGCTAAAATGAGGACAAAAAAATGCAAATCATCTCTTTGGGTTATTTTAAGAATTTATTTAGATAATCTATGTCAAGTGCTGGCGGCAGCAGGAGATTTTGACCAAAGGCTGTTCTTCCCTTTCCTTCTCTCCTTCAGCCAACCTCAGGCTCACAAGGTCATGTCAGGCCTAGTAGAAGAAAAAAGGGCACAGAGTAAATATTTTAGGCTTTGTGAGCCACATTCAGTCTCTCACATATTCTTCTTTGTTTCATTCTTGTTTTTTCACAACTCTTTAAAAATGTAAAAATCACTGGACAATCCAAAAACAGGTCATCGGGCTGGATTTGACCCCCTGGCTGCAGTTTGCTGACCTGTGTTCTAATATATTGCTCGGAGAGTACACAGGGACTTACTTGGCCTTAGCCCGAAGCTGCACCTTACTGTTTGCCTTCTTCTTTTATTTTTCCTCTTTTCATTATATCCATGTTCTTTCAACAAAGGAGTTGAAAACTCAACTGTGAAATCAGACAGGCCTAGGTGCAAATCCCAGCCCCACTGCCAAATGGTTTAGCAACTGTGGACAAGTTACTTAACATCTCATAGCCTCTGTTCCAGCACCTTTAACATGATCCTATAAAAACCTAAGTTCGAGAGAGAGGATGTGCCTGCAGCGAAACGCTGGAGACAGCTCCCAAGGCTTCTGAGAGCTGATCGTTAAATTCTCTCCGGAAATTTACAAGCTAGCTCTTAAATCATTGGTAGCTCGAAATCAGCCATGGTGAACATACTTACACCACAGAAATTGGCAAACGCTGCAAATCAGCCTTCTTCCCCGCTCCCAAGCCAGTTGTTAAATGTTTACAGCACACCACTGTATTCTAAGCACTTTTTCCTCCTCGATTCTCTCGCCTCCTTGGAGCTCCCTGTTTCCAGTTTTACACTGCAAGGAATTAATGATATACCGAGAGGAATCCTGAGAGAAGAAAACATGCAAACCTCCCAGGAAACTCCCAACAATAAGATCTTCACAAGTCACACATCCATTTAGCCACTGTTGTGTTTTTCAGGCTCTAGCTTGCTACCCACTCAGTTAGCACCAGTTATGTTGAAAAGCATTTGGTTTTCACAGGGAGGAATCGAGACTTTCCTATAAGCGCCAATAGAGAAAAAGATGGATTGCTTTGGGATTTTTTTTTTCAAAATGCTAAGTGCAGTGAGAGAGAGCTAGTGGAGTTTCTGAAAATGCCATGTAAAATTGACAAATTCTGTTAACAAACCCAAGAGGAAGAAAGAATTCATGAAAGGAAAACACTTAGCTAAAAAAAAATGGGCATTTCGAACTAGAAAACTCCTGAAAGATATTCTTCTTCCTAAGAGTGGAGCATTAAAGTTTTAACTATTTTTTAATGATAAAGTACTCTTCTTCTTCTTGACATACAGTCTTTTCGGGTTCACTATTTAATCCAGAAGATGAGGGTATAAGATTTAAATTATTTTCATAAAATATTTTGTTTTTATTATTTTTCCATTAAATTTACAAAACTATTAAATCTTCTATCAGCTAGAAGTTGTGCTTGGCTTCTAACCACAGAGACCAGAGACCAGAATATGGTTTCAAGGAGATAAACTTTGCTTCACTGTCATGTGAAAGGAGTCTTGAGCTAAGCAGTGTAGGATTTAGATGGCAGCTCTTGCTATTTTTGTT